AACTGTTTCACTTTTTCAAACACATGGCACAGATGTGGCTTCCTTAGGTTGTTTAAGAAAACTAGTATTTTGAAGGCAAAAAAATAAATTGCCATGATCACTCTTATAAATTTTATAGATTTTTATAAAGCCACTAGACTTCAAAGATGAAAAATGATGAGTATATGAATCTAAAACATTAGACCTTTCAATTTTGTAGTCGTGACTACAGTCCTGTGGTGATGATATTGTCAATTCTACTTTTTATTTAGATTCAGCTAAGTTAAATTTAGCATGACTATATTCAAAGAGAATAAATCTGTTACTAAGATGAAGATTGAATTATAGGTAGACAAACACATTAAAGAAAAAAAAAATTTCAATAGTGCAAAGTTAGTCACATTTTATTTAAGAATGATAGCTACATCTACACTTATTATGTTTCTTGTCTGTTTCTCTCACTAGAATCTAAGTTTGATTGAGTGCAGGATTTTTGTCTGTTTTGTTCTCTGACATATCCCAGGGCTTATATCTGTGCCTAGCAGATAGCAGACGCTTAATAAATATTATGAATGAATAAATGAATTTCTCAATCAATTTATTTAATAATAGCATATATCATTACAGTGTATCAACATATAAATAACAACATACACAAAGGAAAGACAAATGGGGAAACAAGCAAGGCCATATCAATTTCAATCAGAATGAATGACTTCAGGGCTGCAACACTCAGCCTTCTGTTATGTAGATGTCTATCTTGCACATGGTAACAATGTCTAGTCAGTTCCATCTGTGTGAGGAGTTTCAATTAAATTGGGGATTATTACACACAGGTGCAAATGTCTCATTCATTGAAAGGAATCAAGGTTTTCTCAGAATGAATGAGATGGGGGATGCCATAGGTCCCAGGTTACCATTTTCAAAAAAAGCAAATACAAAGAACAATTCAGAGAAAGGTTCTAGTTTATCTTTTTGAATTATTGAATGATTATGCAGTTGCAAAGAAACAGAGGTATTATTTATCTGAAGATAACATATTCATACAAAAAGGACAGATACTAGTAATACACTATGTTGATAGCAAAATATTGATGATATCACCATCAAACAACAGATAACATTACAGAATATTCTTTATCTAGGAAAACAGTTGGATTTTTCCATCATTTTAACTTATTTTTTTTTGATAGCATGCTCCCAAAACTAGACATGCTTGCAAAATTTATTCAGCATTTTGGTTTTAAGAGTTATATCTCCAACCCCTTTATTACAGGGGTGGAAAGGAGAGTCTATACATACTATCTATAATGTACATTAAAACACTTTATTTCACAGTGAACAGGCAAATTTGAAAAATAAACTTTAAAGAAAACAACTGTTTATATCAGAAATCAAACACACAAATTCATGGATATTTACTTCTAGAAAATCTATCCTTATAATTAAGAGTGATATATAATTTCATCATTTATGTACAATGACCTCATTTCAAGATACGGGAGTTAATGTAAGAATCACAAAGTGATTCTTTTCAACAAGTATTTATTTTGAGAAAGATGAGGTTTATTTCTTCTTTTGTTCTAATATCTCAGAAAAGTCACAGAACTTAAAATTTTTTTTCTGGTAGTCCAGAGTTTGGTGATCCAGAAAGAATCCCACATCAAAAATTAGCTTAAATTTACTACCCCGTAGAACGAGACTCGCGCCTTAGTTAGGAATGGTCGAACCGCGTGGAACTCATTTCTTTCTTGATCAATTTCTTAAAATAGGATTCTTCATCAGAGGCTGAAAAAAGGAGGACTGTACTGAAGTATGACTTTCCATTACTGTGTCTTTTTTAGGAAAAGAAATATATATATTGCTTTTCAAGTCCCATGCAAATATTACAAAATTAAGTTGGAAGGTATGTATATTTTCATTCTTACATAGAACTGCTGTTGGCTGGTTTGCATTCTAAAATCATAAAGTTCTGATCAAGGTTTGGCAGATTAACATTAAATTGCTAGCTGGTGATGCAACACAGATAAAATGAATTGCAATATATGGAAGTTTCGCTCTGGCATTTTCATACTTTGATTTTAATGTTAATTTTGAGAATAATTTGACATTACCAAAAACCTAAAACTAAAATTACACAAGCTAAAAACTCAGTTACATAAAATACTTCCATTTTATTTAGAGTAAGGGCATCATAAATAATTAAAAATATGTTCTGCCTAATGAGACAGTGAGCTGAGGATAAATAACTTTAAATTAGATAGAAAAGGTCACCGATTGTTGATCTCCTTGACTAGAATTAACTCTAAAGGGCATGTTTGACTTTACAAGAGAAAAATATATAAGGTATCCTATCATTTGAAAGGCAATTTTATGAGAATCTCTTTGGAAAAGCAGCACTAAAATTTAGAGTATTTTTCATTTTGTGATGTGACTGAAAAAAAGCAATCAGATTTTTCTTAGTTCTTAGGAGAAATCCAATAAAATACATTATGTATTTGTCACTGGTCAGAGAGAAAAACAATCGGTGCACAAAACCCTTTTCTCATTAAATATAGATTTAAAAGTTCCTTTCTAAAGCGTTCAGTTGCATAAAAATGCTCATTAAATTCTTCACATTCATAGCTTCACTATTATGGACAGACAATACAAATAATTATCCAGTGATTAAACTACCTGAAAATTATAATTTTAAACATTATTACATTGATGTTTTAAAAAGCAGAACATAATAGTATGGGGTTTACTACTAGATATTTTTATGAGATTGGTTGTCGAATTTTTTCATGTTCACCATTTTATCCTTCAGAGTCTTAGCATTTCATACATTTCATACAACTAGAATATGACAGTCTCTATTTTTCCAATCTGAACATTTTTCCAAGAATAACAAGGCAACAAAAATAATACAAATAGAAGCATTCAGGACAAACCTATTCAAAGCCTCCACAACACACACATCACCATGCTAAGTGGAGGATATTACCTCCCAGTCACCTAGCTGGGGAATTAAAATTGCCTGTGAACAAAACGGAAAAACATAAAGCATAGACCAAAACTTACCATAATTGTGGTTACAACCACTGTTCTATTCTCAATAGCTGCTGTGTCATTGCCAAGAGTGGGTACATCTTGAATCAGAACCAATTTATCCATGTCATTCCAATAACCAACCTACCAAACAGAGAAAATCATTGAAAACACGTTTTAGAAGCATTTCCTATAGTTCTTATTGGAACAAAGAGGGATATAAAAGTGTCTGGAAATTCTCTTAATTGAGGATGAGCCAGTTTTCCTTATATTTACCATACTGCCTGGTTACACTATGGCAATTATACAATTTACGATCACAGAGCAGTCAAAAGACATCGGGAATGTGTCATTTAAAAGTGAATATAAATACATATAATATCATTTTATGTTGGTTCTTTGATTCTTTCTCCTGATGGACTGACTGGCATCCTCTTAAATTTCTTATGTGATTTTTTCAGTAACTTTACAGGTCATAGGGTAAAATGAGGAGGGAGATTTACAAAAGGGATATGGAAGAGCTATTTTCAAATAACCAAGACTTGTAAAAGGAATATCGAAATCATTTTTGGATTATAACCACTTACCATCTTACATTTCCAAAAGGCTAAATGCATCAGAGATGAGTATTAATGAATGATATTTTCCCTTTCAAAAATTTAAATTTGTGTTTTTATTTTGAAAACCTCACATTACATTCTCATTTAGAAAAACAACAAACACTGTTCCATAAAAGATATTAAGTAATTGGTTAAGCTATTTACAAAGTAGTAAAGTCCAAGGAGGTCCTTTGTCCCTTAGTTTCTTTGTCTATGCAGACCATTAAGTGATAGTAATGACTACTATTACCATTGACTGCTGTCTCTGTGGCAAACACAATATGCGATGTTTTTCGTGCACTTTGGTTTATACACAGAGGTAGGTACTATTATCTTGCTTAATTGAGAATTGAGTACTCACATTAAGAAGTTAAATAAATTATGCAAGGTTATACTTTAGTGGGGCCAGTACTCAAAACTCATGTCCATACGACAGCAAGTCTATTTACGTTACTGTTATGTTACACAGCTTCCCAAATAGTTGTTGATGTAAAACTTGCCAAACTTCTTTCTTGAGTTTCTGGATGTAATTGCCAAAATGTGTTTGTGAAAAACAAACAAGCAAACCCACAACATGTGTAATTGCTCTCTGTTAGGTATTCACTACTTGTTGTAATTTGTTTTGGAAGTCCTTTTTACTCCCTCCAAGTTTCTTCACTATTATATTAATATTTGTGAACATACTGAAATAAAGTAAGTATTAACATATCAGAAAGAAGCACTGTATTATTTACAAATGTTGCATATCTAATTCGATAACAGATGAGGAAAATTATTTTCATTAATTTAACTCACTATACTGGTTTGATCTGAAATTATGAGTATCAACTCAGCAATTATTTTCAATTGTCCATGAGAATCTACTTATAGCTATTTAATAATTCAGTAAAGAGTCTCTCTGGTGGCAGTGGGGTTGAGGACAAAGCATTATCAACCTTCGCAGTCACTGCAGCACGAATTTGATCCCTGGCCAGAGAGCTAACCCACAGGGCACAGCAGACCTCTCCTGTCTCGCCCGCTGCTCCACTCAGCAGTGTATTTCAGTAGATCTGTCTGTTCTGCTTCCAACTCTGTCTCTGGGAATGCTTTCACCACCCCGCACCCCAGTCTATACCTCAGTTCTTGTATGCATAAATAAATAAATCTTTTAAAAAAATCAGTGAAAATTTCATTTAAAGACAAGTATGCCTTTGAGCCGCATCCTCCCCTCAATCCTACATATACTTTAAAAAACTACCATGTCGGGCCTCCCTGGTGGCGCAGTGGTTGAGCGCTGGGTTGCGAAGCTGCCCGCAGCCTCTGCAGCGCCGGTTCGATCCCTGGCTGTTCCCCAGCCACTGGAGGAGGGTCCCACATGCCACGCAGACCTTTCCTGCCGCCCGCTGCTCCCCTCAGCAGTGTACTTCGGTCCTCCTGCCTGCTCTGCTCCCCGCTCTGGCTCTGGTGAATTCTCTCACCCTCCCGCACTTCTGACTGTACCCAGTGCTTGTATAAATAAATAAAAATAAATCTTTAAAAAAAAAAACAAACTACCATGTCACTTGTTTCCTGTATTTAATTCTCCTTTCCACATGGCAGCTACATGACAAGAAACAGGTTTTCCAGTTTAGCATTCCATTAAAATGCACCCACACTACAGATCTCAGCAGCCTAATCTCCAGGAAAGGCAATTTTTCCTTATTTATGACTTCCCATAACAGATAAACCACAGAGCTGGGACATATCCTGGAGAGTTCTCAGATGTTGTCAAGACTGACATTTTGCATTTAAAAACAACATGTGAGTTTATCACTATCTATTCCCCAAAACAGATGACTATGATAGATCAGTGATAGATCTCACATGAGCCATGAATTATTGGAAAGTAGGCCCTGACGGGACGGACAGTGACAGAGGGGACAACTTTCTAAAGAAAGTAATCTTAATATTGGCCCTTGTCCCTCACATGAAATGGAGTTTCTCCCGTTAGTTCTTCACATTTTACAGTTTACTAACAACTCTTCCCTCTGATCTCATTTACTCAGACAAAAAACTAGGTATATTCCTAGAGATTGAAATTGGATGAAAGAAATTTTGTAGTGCTAGAGCAAAACTATGAAGCATTTACTTGTTTGTTTGGATTTCTCCAGGTGAATAGTGTGCAAACATAACTATCATTTGGCACATGAATAATCATCTCTATTAATGGTGGACTCTGCTTGAAATGCACAGATTGCCCCTGTTGCACTCAAAGTTGGTACCTTGGAGAGCAGAACTGAAAAGTTGGCTTATTGTTCATACCAGCACTAAAAGAACCCTTATGGGACTTGGAACTGATAATCTTTTCTCAGAGTCAAAAGTGAGCCCTGGAGTTAGGTGAGGCGCCTTGCTTTTCACCACAGCACCACCTCTTTCTAGATGAACACCTCTAAACAGGAGATATATGTATTGGCATTGTATTGATCCAGGCTGAGGGAGAGGTGGGAAAGACTTAACTAGTTAAAAGCAGTTTCAGGGCATTGATAAAGAGACACAGGAGGCAAGGAAGAATAAAAGTCTGGCTCTGCCTAGGGGCCAAGCCTCTGTAAGCAGGATATAGACAAGAGCTGAATTAAGCCAATCTGAGACACTTTGTAGGTGAGATCTCCAAAGCCTTCTCAGATTATGCATCTGTCACTGAAGGTTTTAAAGGGGAAGCAGGTCCACTGTTCCAAAGAGAGTTCCAGGTTCCAGACACCATCTCTCTCATACTCATCTTCTGAACCTTCCCTCGCAGTACCTATCCTTTCCTCTTTTACTGTCAATTGAATTGTACGCTTATATTGTTGCCATGTGAATTTCCCCCAATAAAATCACAATTATATTGTGATTATATGAGTAGCCTGATTGTGAGCGAAACCTCTTCTCTTTGGTGGAAGCCAGCATCTTTGAGATCTGAAACTCTCCCCAACAGCAGGTTACTTAGTTTCTTTGAGGCCTTACTTTTCTATAAAATGAGATATATAAATCTTATTGTCAGATTGTTGTGTGCATTGATTATAAAAATGCACTTAAATTTTCCACTATTGTGTCTGACATATAGCCTGCTTTCAATAAACATAATTTTTACAATTAAAAATTCCTGAAACCTTGCAGTTCCGGTGCTGGAGTGTGCCTATTGGTGTCCCTGAGGGTTACTGGAATGATAAGAAGATTCCACCACCTTTAGGAGATGGGGCTTCAGAAAGAGCCTTATGGGCTCTGCTTAATGAGACACTCAATCAGTTTTCCTCTTGTAGAAGTCAGACAAACTGATGGGCTGACTCTCTGATCTATTTTCAAAGACTGCTCCCTTGCTGGCAAGTGCTCTATTTACAAGAAGGATGGTTTGCCTTTCAGACATATTGCCTACTTTCAGCAGTGTGTGCTTCTCATGGTGTCTCATTTTTAAGTTTCGTATTCCTGCCAGAATGCCAAAGCTGATCACTGCCTTGGAAAAATGAAGATAGATGAGTATACACTGTTTCACACTTCATATTTCTTTTACAGCCTTAGATGGGTGTCAGATGAATATGAAGACATACTGTTTATCAAGTTCTCCACTTACTCTTTAACTCTCCCCTCAAAAACCCATACTTTTTGTTACCATCGTGGTTCATTAGGTCATGAAGAGACTCAGTACTATAAATAGCCCACCTGTTACCGCCACTAGCTATAACCAGTTTCCTTTTTCCATTATTCTTTCTATTATAGACAAGCCATTTTACTCTTTGTACTTAATGTTTTGTGAAATCTGAAACTGTCTTCTGCATTTTAGAAAACATATGTGTACATGGCTGATTTTGTTATAGGACAGGGAGAGGGGCAGCCCAAGCCCCGCAAACCTGCCTATTCTAAATGGGTTCTGCCATCCGCCGCATCAACACAAAACACATGAGACTTTAATGGGAAGGAACTTTAATAAAACTAGGAAACAATACAGGAAAGGCAAAGAGTTTCTAAATGAAGCATTTAGTTTCTAAATGAAGCACCCAAAGTTACCCGTCCCCTCGTGGGTAAAAGTCCATCCATATGGGTCGGCCCAGAGCAAGGCCCCAAAGCCTGCCACAAGTCTAAAACATCTTCCAGTGGGGACCCACAGAAAAGGGTCACAAACAACCAGACAAGCCCAGAAGGAAAAGAGCAAAATCAACATCCAGATAAAAGCTGCCATGGTCACCTCCCACGGGTCTCACCCACATCTGTGTCACCCAGTCCACGACCAAAGACAAGCTCAGTTTCTTCACGTGTCTCTAGGCTCCACGCGCCTCCTCCAGGTCTCCTGGCTCCATCCTGCTTCCTTCCTTCCTCAGTCTCTTCTGCAGCTTCTCCTCTTCCTGCTCAGCTCCACCCTTCCTTGGGTGGGGCAGGGAACCTGGAACCTCCCCCTTTCCTGGGGACCACCCTGTTACAATTTTACAAGCTCTGGTTTGTGGCAGGGAAGTTTTACCTCTGTCCACCAGTTACCAGATTTTTAGGAGGTCTGTAGAGTATTCTGTCTACTGATAGCAGAGGGAACTTGATTAAAATAGGTCATTCTTCTTACTGGCTGTGTGCAGGCAGAGTGAGTAAAATGGTGCTTACATGGAACCCCCTAGATTTCTTCCGGGGAGCATGCCTTATTCCTTTGTTTGAGTAGTGTCCCTACCAGAGCCCCTCATACTGAAAGGGAACCGCTAATCAAATGAAATCTTTCCTGTTTCCTGCTAAAAGAGTCACAGGTTAGGTGCAGTTAATAATGCAAAGTAAATGTAAACAACAAGTTTTGCCTCTCTAAAGCTGATCTAGATGAGATTACCTAAAGGAGGTCACATTTTAACAGGGCCATACAGCCTCCAGGTTGATTGATCTCCCAGGGCATCTTTGAATACCTGTCTTTTGTCACAAACTTTTGTGCTTACTGACCAATGTTATCAATGTAATCTAGTTATGTATAAAAGAAACCCTTTGTCCCTAGACTGGTGCTCACACCTTAAGGGGCTAGCCAGGTCTGGGACCTCATGCATGAATAATAAAGCTCCTCCAGACTTCACCATTCCTGAAATACTGCTTATTCTTCCCCTGCCTGGATAAAAGGCTAGAATTTATTTCTGCAACAATACAGTGTGGTTTCCCTGCTGTCATCCATCTCTTTTTGACCTTATGTAGGTCAGGCGAGGCTCCAGTTTAGCCTGGAGGCTGCACTTGAGGAGATACCACCAAGAGGCAGAAAAACTAGAAATGGTTTTCATGTAAGCTCCAAATCTCTCCTCCTGCATATCCAGGAGCATATTCCATGAGAGACCAGAGAAAAGCACAACTCAGGAAGTCTGCCATTTTCCATATATAGTATTAACAGTCCTGCCTCCAAGTTCTTGCCCTTTCCATTTCTGTCCACTCAAACTTTAACTTCAAGGCAAAATTTAAATACCACCTCCTCCTGGAAGCTTTCCTAGATTTGTTTTCCTCCAGTTGGAAGAAACCTCTTTAGAACATCTACATGCAACTTTCACTGTCTCCTTAACTGTTATATGAACTTACTGCATTCTGCCCTATTAGAAAATAAGCTCTTTCAGAGCAGGGTCTCCTCATGTGGCAAATGCTATAGAAAGGCTCTGGAGTCAGACACATCTGAATTAAAATCTTTGTTTCACTTACAAACATTGGATAAATAATAACAAGTTAGTGGACACCATAATTTTTTTATGTGAAAAGGGGAGATAATAGTGCTCATATTATAGTTCTGTTGTGAGAACTGAAATATACATGTCCAGTGCTTAGAACAGAGCAGACATTTATAATTTTAGGTATCACTACTACATCAACACAAGAAAGTATATTTGGGAAAGTTTCTGTAGATGAAATCAAGGGTCAAAACAGAGTTTTTAGATAACTTGACCACCTCTTTCCTTGAGCCTCCTACCTTATCCTAGAAAAATGAATGTTGAAAAAAAAATGAGTTTGTGATAATGTTTATAACCAATTACTATGGTAAGATTGTATGGTCCCATTATAAATAGAGTACTTTTTGGATGTTGGTATGCTAATCTACCTAGTTACATTTTTTTAAAAGATTTATTTATTTATGCATACAAAAACTGGGGTACAGGCCAGAGATTGCAGGGGTGTGAGAGGATTCATCAGAGACAGAGTGGGGAACAGAACAGACAGACTGACTGAAATACACTGCTGAGGGGAGCAGCGGGTGAGACAGGAGAGGTCTGCTCTGCCATGTGGGTTTCCTTCTGGCTGGCCAGGGATTGAACCCTCACTGCAGAGGCTGCAGATTGCTTCATAGTGCTGTGCTTAACCCTTTGTGCCACCAGGGAGGCCCTACCTAGTTACATCTTAAGACGAGTTACCTTCCAGATCCCAACTATCTGGCACCTGTAGCCTCCTGAACAACCTCCCTGGCTTAACTTAATGGAGAGTCTTATGTGTTTTTCTCCCTCCTCTGCCTAATAATAACCTTAATTCTCTAATCTTCCACCTGTTTACTCCTTTGCTTATTTGAATGCCCATAGGATTACTTCATGAATATCCACCTTGTCCTAAATATGCCTACCCAATAGAAGTTGTCTTCTTTATTCTCTCTTAAATGATTTCATAAATAACTACATGGAAGTTAGTATGTCTCTTACTTGCATTCTGTGCTTTCCTGAAGAGTAAATTTTGTTTTTGCCAAGCCTTTAAAGAAATATTGCTTCCATTTTGGAAAAAGGATATGAACAGTGCAAGAGTTAGTTTATTTCAGCTTTGGCACACCACTGATTGTGAATTATATTGTTAGGGGGAAAAGGATGTCCTAAAGCTAATTCCATACAGGCTTTGTGGACTCCACCCCCACCACAGGCCAAAGCCAAAGACACTGGGAACTCCAATCCCATCACCACCAAAGGGAAGGTGGCTGGGACCTGAAGGTGGGGTTAAGCAGCCAGGTTGATATAAAGGCAGACACGTGGGCTTTGGGAGCCCCCATTTTGGCTCTCTGCCAGCTCGCAGCGTCCTGCCAGCTCTGAGAGTGCCTTTGGGTTTCCAGGTCGGCGGATCGGGTAGGACACATTAAAGACTTTATTTCCCTATTTTCTCCCTGAGCTGTACATTTCCCTTATTTCCTTTTCCCTTGTAAATAAACCTTTTATTAACCTTTTGTGTGTGTCTGTAGTGGAGTATTAAGTCCCTTTTAAGTGCGCGGGTGAGGACCCACAGCCAGGAACCCGTTCAAAAATCGGGGCTGCTCTATAACAATATGACACATCAGATTATTTCACACAGATTATCAAACAAATTTAAAATAATGTAGAATATACAGCTATCTTTCACCTATACGGCTTCAAAATGTCAAATGCAAATTAAGAAAACAGTTTGCGCAACTCACCTTTCTAGGTCCTGTGCTCTTTAACTCAAACACATCCATGGTATAATTGACCCTACGTCCATAGTGGTCAAACTGAACATTTCCTGTGAGTCCTTGAATTCGAACCTATGAAAGAAAAAGATAACCAATACACATGCTCATTTTCCATTTCACTGATAGAAATCTCCACTTCATCTGCTAGGCTGAAGTATAAGCAACTATTAAGTATAAGCAACTCACTGAGAATCAATGGTTATTTATGCTCGAGGGATAAGCAGGAATATCAAAGGAATATAAAAGCCATTCTGCTATACACCTAGAAAATGAATATATACATTTCGTGTATATATATATCTATATAATATGTATACATATATGGTAAAGTTCCCATTGCAGCTAACAGAATATTTCCTCCAAATTGAAGTATTTTTATAGGAATGGAAATACGGTCTGTTTATAGATACTTTTAAGTTTTGTCTATATCTACTTGATGAACTAAATAACCATGTAAACTTCATAGGTATTTTCTCCTTGCTGATACTAAAATTAAGATATAAGAAGTTCAAAAAATATATATATTTGAAAATATTCAAATGTACTTTATTCCAAATTCCTTTTAATTTTTAACCCATTGCATTCCAAAGCACTTTAAAAGACTAAAGTAGACAAATTACTTACTCCAAGGTTACAGGGCAATATCTACTAAAATTATCATTAGTAGTGTTTGCCGAATATTTCTGGCTCTTGGCTATTCTGGACCCAAGGTAGGCTTGCACTTCCCAAAAACCTTGTGTCTTGTGATGCCTATGTGACTCTTTCTGACAGATGTGTTGAGAACAGATGTGATGAGTGTCACTTGCAGGTCTGAACATTACCAGGCAGTTTCAAACTTCCCTGTCACTCTATTTCCCTTGGTAGGACTAGGATGGTAGCTGTTCTGTTAGCTTGGGTCCCTGGTCACAAGAGCAGAGTGCGCCTCCTAGTCCAGTGTATGTGAGGGAAAAATACTCCTTCATTGTTTTAAGCCACAGGACTTGGGGTTGCTCATTACTGTGGCATAACCTAGTTCATCCTGACTATGCATCTACATAATATACAAACACACCAGTATTCTACCCAGTATCCTATTTAGAAATATCTCAAAAATTATATTGGCTTGATATCTTAAAATGCAATTTGCAAGATGCATTTATTCTCTTATTTTTTTCTTGAACAAGATGGTGAAATAAATTGTGCTTGCATAAATTTGTGAGTTACCTGTTTGAGTGTCCTCTCCATGTCAATTCCCTGTCCCCATGGAGCAGCAGGATTTGCCAGACAATCTCCAGCATTTCCTCTCCTTGAAATATCAATTTTCTGCCTTCTAAGATTTCGGAATGTTTCAGCCATCACAAGGACTCCATCATAAGTCAAAGCAGATGTGTACTAACAAAATGAAGGGGATTATAATTGTAAATGTTAAAATCTTATCATTCACTTGAATAGTCTGGGAGCTCTATGGGTTTATGACAAAGCATTAGCCACTCAGAAAGTCAGCTAAATTAATAGACTCGTTTTAAAAATTTCTGTTATCACTGACTGGAAAACTGTATATCAAATCTTACACTCTGATTTAAAAAGAGAAAACACACCTTGAAAAATAGAAATTCAAATGTGAAGTTTCCCATCAGTTGGGAGAAGCAAGCCCTCTATGTGAGGTGTTTTTGTTGTCCAAATAGAAGCAACTAATGTGTGGAGTGCTAAGTGCAGTAATGCTGCCATCTGCCTCGATGGTGGAATCCCAGCAGGGCGGGAATGTTTTACTCTTTCCTCCTTCACAATGCTTAGTAGTGCCTAGAGGTGCTTCCTCTCTGAGACTTCATCTATGGTTATTGACTTGAAATGTGTGGCTTTTTTCAGTACTTCAGAAGAATGAGTGTGATTGTTTTTATTTTTTGGAAATAGTATGCTGTGAGTGCGCACAGGAAGGTTAAGTAATTTGTGTACATTTCCACTTAACCTAGGATCACAAAGAAGAAGAGAAAGGAAGTGTATACCATCTACTTTCTGGTGACCAGCCTCTGCTTCTTTTTGAGAAAAGATAACCTCAGGAAAAGGTGACTAAGGTTTAGAGAAGAAATATGGAAAACTAAGAGAAAAGGGTAATTTCTTTAAGTGCAAAATGCAAAGAGTAAGAGAAAACTTTTGGTAGAGTTTGATTAGAGAATTCCTAAACACTTGAAAAATATGGCACAATTTTCTTGACACATGGCAGAGCCACATCTATTAATCGTGGGTAAAAACACACTACACTATCTCTTTCAGGAATCCCTTATGATGAATTCTACATGATTAATGCATTTGGCCTATATTAGGAACAGTTTTGTGCTGTGGAGTGCGGAGGATGATCGCCTTATTTGCCGCTGGTAAATGAAGAAAATTGCTTGAAATTTGCATTCTAGAGAGTAAATTAGACAACCATTATAATGCTATTACCATTATACATAGCAGCCAGCATTCCAGGAAAGAGAAATACCAAAAAATGGGTAAGATAAAGATTCTAAATTCTAACAAGAACATTTCAATGGTTGAGGAGCTAAATGAAAAGCCTTTGTCAGAAAGCCTTAGGAGTTAAGTAAATTAGAGGTCTTGCTATATATATATTCTTCAAGGACATGATAGAATAGACTGAAGAATAGCTACACACCCTCAGAAGTGGTGGCTGAAGGAAATTAAGGTTACAGAGGTGCTAAACCAATGTACCTCCTCTCCTCTCTGGATCAAGCCATCGCTGAGTAGAGGAAGCCAACAAATCATTTTTGTAAGACAAGAAAATAAACACAAGAATCAACTGGCACTTACTAAAGATATGAAGAGCCAGGGAAAAATGTGTTTTAAGATCTAGGGAGAACAAAAGAAAAATATTGTTGCTTTTCCAATAGGGGGTAAAAAAACTGAGAAGAGATGGCACCAAAAAGTGAGGAAACACACTTGCTGTATTTTAAAAGGCCACCCATTATATAGAAAACAAACAAACTAGAAAAAAGAATAGACACTACACAGTGGAGCAGATCAAAGGAGACAAGTGGCAAAGCCACTGGCATTCATTGTGCTGAGAGTGGAACGAAGCAGTAGTTTAACTGGCCTCACCTTTTCAAGGGATGCAATTCTTTTCCATATCTTTTATATTGCTAAAGTTCAAGAAACACTTAGGAACTCAAACTTCAATATGGCATCTAGAGAACTGATATAAATAAACACCTTCTTCTAGGGCAGGGTAAAAACCAGATCTTGGCCTCAATTATTGACTGCTTGACCAATGATGAATGATGGACTGAGGTTTTTTTTTTTTTTTTTTTTTTTTTTAAACCAAGGA